TGAAGTGTACACGTGTGTAAGCATAATCATGAGCAGACATATTTATATACATAAATTTCCAGTTCACTGGCATTGTTCCATCTTGACCCCCCCCCCCCCCTTTACCTGATTGGCTGGTGCCAGTAAGGTGACTGGTGTCCTCCTGGGCTCTGATTGATTGGGAGGCGGGTTCCAAGCTGGCGCATGACCTGATTGGAGGAGACAGTGGTGACATAGCCTGGGATCTCTTCCCAGCTGGACAGGGAGGCATCAAGGCTTCCAAGAAACTGATAGAGGTGGTCCAAGGGAGGGAGGGGACTCCAGGGACTGTGCCAACCCTTGGGTGGGTGGTGTTGAGGTGTGGAAAACAAACAGAAGTCCAAAAGTAGATCTGACAGGATTATGCAGATACCGGAGTCCAGTTAGAGAACACAATGGGAGTTGGTGTCCCAGACATCGTTCCTTGCCAAGAGACAAAGAAAATGTCTCAAAGATGTATACTTGTTGATGGGATTGCAATCACAGTTTCATCCTGGGCCTTTGTCTTGTAGATAGGGGAATTGCTGGGCAGCTGGTAGCTGGATTCTCATTGAGATCCAGGAAGGTCCTTTGTCTCATAGATTATGTCCCATCTGTGGTTCTCACAGGGCATGGTAGGGACATCTAGAATCGCTCAAAAGAGGTTATTGGGGTTGATAGGTTCATAAACATTTGCTTTCATTTTATAGAGTAATAATAATAATAGTTAGATAAAATATCAAAGAGAGTTCATGTGGTGCTTGATATAGACTCATAGAGAGAGAAGAAGGGGCTAAAGAGTGAGCCTGAGAAGAGAAAGGTCATTTGCTATATTTGTTTATATTTTATCACCTCCCCTCGTATTAACATTCTCAGAAGAAAAGAAGAAAAAATCAATAAAAGAAATATAGAGAGATACATAGAGATATATATAGTATCATGGGCTTGGGTAATAGAAGTGTTATGGATACACTTTAGCTGTCCAGATTGCTTCTTAGCTGTGAAGCAGGGAGAGGATCAGCTGAGCTATCTCCACTGAAGCTGTGGAGATCCGCTGGAGCGGACTGGCTCAGGTCAAACAGAGCTGGGGGTGCGTGCAGGGGCTCAGGGCTATGGAGTGTGGGCTGATGGTGGTCCTTTGGGAGGCTTGGGGAGACTATGGAAATGGAGGCCATTACCAATTCATCTGACCTTCCATCCCTGGGAAACTATAATTCCCATGGATCAAACTATGTCTTCTTTTTATTAGGGGTGGGGTTGGGGGTCTTCGATAGCAATATGAGAAAGGATGTACCAGTTTGTAGGTGGTTTGTAGATTGAAGGGTTTTTTATATTTAGAATGTAGTAGTATTATTTAGAAAAAGTATTTTTTAAATATTTTGTTATTTTATTTTTTTGTATGTTTGTATGTGGGTTTTGTTGCAATCTGTATATATGTGTGTGTGGAATTGTCTAGAAATTCCCTTTGTGTTCTGCTTTGAGACCCTGCCATGGAAGAAAATCAAAAATTATTTCCAAGTCTATGAACAATACATCTTTCTCTTTTTAAAAATAAAATAAACCCTAAACCAACTGACCAACAAACAGGTAGACAAATATTTATCGTTTCTTCAAAGGGTGACTTGGGTGTGCAACTATACTGTGGAATATGGGTGTCAGTCATTTTCACCAAGGACCACATCAGCCTAATTGTTGCCTCAAAGGGCTGTTCATAATTATAAGACTGTATAATGTAACTAGCTTTGAAAGCCTCACAGGCCACATAAAATGATATAACGGACTGGATTCCACCCATGTACTTTACATTTGACACATGTGCTGTAAAAGGAAGGCAGATTGACATCACTTTTACTGCCATGGCCCACTGTTATGAAATCTTAGGAATTGTGGTTTCACAACGCCATTAGGCTTCACTGTCAAAGTATGGTAAGTATGGTACAAAAACCCTTTGACCTCTACACAATGTAGTAATAATACTTGTGGAGATGAAAGGACAGCAGACTGTGCTACAGACCTTTCTTTGTTACTATCCAGGCCTGTCGTCTTTGGGCAATAAATGTTAGTTTGTTGTAACACATTTTATGATGAATTTCCATTATGAGACATTGTGTGTGTGTGGAACTGGGAAGATCTGAAGCGCTCTCTTAGTGTTGATAAAAGTTTTTGGCATCAGAACATGTTAAAGCTTTATAGCCTTAATAGTTTTAAGCTAAGTCTTGGCGTCACTTCAAACCAATTATGCAAGATCTATCACAAGTGCTTTTCTTATCTTATCTGAATAGCCATTTTATCCTGTAAATGATTTAAGCCAACACTATTCCGTTATTGTCTAAAAGAGATAGAAGACTATTCTCATGAGGTGGCGTGCTGTGAATTCTTTTCAATGGCTTTGCATTGGCTTGAAGGTTGAGCATGTTGAGCACGAGGGGATAGTATGCCATAAATGAAGCATGACCCGTGTTTGTCATTGGATCCATTCTGCATACCCTGGTGGATCTTGAAACCTCTTATGCAGAGACCCATTTCTCTCTTATACTAAAAGTATGCCCTTTTAACATGTAAGAAGCTGCCCTATTACAAGTATATGCATTGAAACACCTTGTTCATTTGTGTGTTTGCTGGCTGGCAGGAGCCATCTAGGCTTTCAGGAGTCTTCCAGTCCTAGTTGGAAATTAAACCTGTGTATTTGTTACTGAGCTATCTAGGCTTTCTTACTGTAGAGGTGCCCCATTTCCTTTTGTTTCTGAGTAACTTGTTGTTTGTGCGACTCCTGGTTGGAAGGAGCCGGAGCTGGGCCTCCAACAGAAATGCAAGTCCAGCCACTTTTGAGAAGCTGCCATTAGATGAAGAATATTTGAATATAAAACAAGATTTATTTATTTATCATGTCAGGAGCAAGCCAAACACTTGTATTGCATTTTTAACAAACAAAAAAACAACACAAAGTTTGCAAGCTTGGTAGTTGATTAAATGTCCTGGTCACTTGGAGTGCCTCTGGTGTTACTATAAGAAGGTCCTCGGTTGTGCATGTAGCAGGGCTCAGGTTGCATCGCAGCAGATTGTCTGTAGTTTGCTCTTCTCCACACTCGCATGCCGTGGATTCCACTTTGTAGCCCCATTTCTTAAGGTTGGCGCTGCATCTCGTGGTATCAGAGCACAGTCTGTTCAGCGCCTTCCAAGTTGCCCAGTTTTCTGTGTGCCCAGGGGGGAGTTTCTCATTTGGTATCACCACTGGAGAAATTACACTGTTTAGCCAGTATTGCACCACCTGACATCCGCCGGGAAGTAGCAGCCAATAGTGAAAGGACCAAGGCAGTGACATCTCCAGCTCATCCCCTGTTTAGGCATCAGCCAGCACGCCAATGACTTAAATCAAGAAATAGTTTTCTAAGATCTACAGAGACACTCGCTGGAACACCTCAGCAAGTGAGAGTCCAAAAGTGGCAGGCTCAAACCCAGAACCTCAATCAATGGCTGATAAAACAAGATGCAACATGTAGGCACTTTCTCTTCTAAAACAACAGCTTAGATTATATAAATGGAGGGAGGGGAAGAAGGTTTGTTATGTTAACAGTTGAGGATCATTGGGTTTTGCCCTTATTGAAGGCAATGAAACTAAATTTTGGAATCTGTGAGCTTACTATCTCAATTCCACCTAAAGTTTGGGTTGCCTATTATGGGCACATTTTAAGAAGTAATTTAACTATCCAACATATTATGATTCAGAGATCTGGCAGATTTCCTGAATGACCATTGGTTATTTCTGCTGTAATAAAAAAAAATATTACTACTGCATTTCAAGGTTATAAAACCACAGGAGAAGATATGATTCCTCCTTAGGTATTCAAAATAGATATCAATTGATGTCTCTTTTACTTGCAAAAGTATTTAAATATATTAAAACAACTGGTTACTTTTCCTTTGGTGACAATCGAGGATTATAATGCCAATTTGCAAGAGAGAGGCATCAACACATCCTTCAAACTACAGATTCATTAGCCTTTTAGAAGTGGCTTCTAAACTTTTTGCACAAAATCTTTCAAACAAGCTTCTGCAATGGGACTGTGATCAATATATTGTTCATAAGGAACAAGCAGGTTTCAGGGAGAGGTAAAAGTACTCTGGACCAGGCCTTTATATTATATCACCTTATATGTAAATTTACCAGCGGCTTAAACAGATTTATTTGAACAGCTTTTGTTGATTTTTCATCAGAATTTGATTTTATAGACAGCCACAAATTGGCCAAAGCAAACATTGATAAACAGTCTCAACAACAGGACTTCATTCTGGCACTTTTAATGTATTTTTTGTATTATTTGATTCTGAAATGATCTCCCCCTCATATTTCTATCCAACTATTAATAACTTCAATATTTCTGTTTTACTTTATACTGATGACTTGGTTTTACTATTTTGGGGCACAATTGGCCTTAAGAGAATGTTATCCCAATTTGGGTGTCTGTGTAAAGAATAGCTGAGGTCAACTATTCCATAACAAAAATCATATTTTTGGAGGAAAATTCCAAAATGCATATAGACAATTGATGGACATCAACTAGAACAGGTGCACTAATTTCAATATACCCTTGGAATCAATATTTTGATACAACCAAAATCTCATATGCCAGATTTTTTAAAAAAAAAAACTTTAGAGGAGAATAATTTTCAATAATCCATATAATTTTCTTCCTAGCTCCTCTCACTAGATAAAGTTGATTAGGATAGAGCAGAAAATAGAGATAGTGAAAAGCCTTGTCTGTAAACTCACAGATTGTTGTTGTTGTTTTCTTTTGTCCTGCCAGCTAAATGCTACCTCTACTTTTAACTTAATGTAATTGCTTTTTGTTGATTTTTGTTGCAGCTTCTTGGACACAGCGGGTAACTGTCATGGAGAAATTAGCTATTATGTGACTTCTGTCACCAAATGTGAAATTTATCCAATATTTTTAAATCTCATCTTGAGCTTATTCCCATTTGTTTTGTTTTTTAATTTGCTCCAGAACTTGCAAGATGAAATTGAAAACTACAGCAGTCAAGTTCGCACTGCAGAGAAGATACTACAACGCAAAGATCTGGAGACTCAGGAACAGGTATAATGTCCTTGCTAGATATATTTCTATTCTTGGGGAATGTCGATGATATGAACGTTCACATGCACACTACTGAAAAACCAGAAGTTAGGAATATTACCCTTTTTTCCTAATTAGGGCATTCTAAGAGTTGTGGATGAGGGTGAGTGAAAAGTAACTTTCAGCATCTGTAAAAGCACCTCTTTCCCATGTGTTTCTTTAGTTTTTACTGTCAATATGCTTCATTTTTTATTATTTGTTTAAAATATTTTTGTGTTGTCTGCCAGCCAACAGAGCTCCCGAGGCGATGAACAAATAAAAACTAATTAAAACAATACAAAGATTGAAAAAACATTTTAAAATACATTTACATACTCTTTAAAAACAATCCTACAATTCATTTTTGAAACAGTTAAAACAACCATTTCAAACATTGAATGCCCTGTGGAATAATTCTGTTTTGGCTCCCTATCAGAAGCTTAAAAGAGATAGACTATTCTAACATCCTTAAGTAAGGAGCACTGCAGTTGAGGCATCGCTATGGATAAAGCCCTCTTCCATGTAACTACCAACCTGACTTCACAAGATCACTAACTCCACAAATTACTAATTCAACTGTACCCTGAGGAAAGGGTTTTTATCTTTCAGCTCACTATTATAAGTTGTTAAATGACATTCATTTATTTGTAAGTGGCAATGTGGTATGCAGCATATTTTCAGGTGAGTAATTTTAAAACTTTTTAAAAGAAATATGCATTTGCTTAATGTTTTATGTTTGACTACATAATGTACTTACTTTGTTCTACTGAATGTTAAAAGTGAACCATGATTTCTTCAGTTCATAGCACTCGACAATTGACACTGATGCAGACTTGAGTCTTGCCCTAACAAGTTCTCTCCATCTTCATACATGAAGGCAGGGATTTAATGCATCTGCATACAGTTTTGAACAAGCCATATTAAGCTGGATATTGAGGGGGGTGGGTATCACTACAGTTAGTTGCTGCACTTTGTTGTTAAACCTTGGCCTGTCTGGACTGAGATCTTAAGGCTTCAGTACAGTATACACTAACCAACGATACATGGGATATAAGTTTGCATAGGTATGTGTAGATTATGCTGCATAGGAATAACTATAGTGTATGACAGCCTTGGTTTAGTCATCTTGTAGTTAGAGTTCAGGATAGGTTTGTCCTAGGACCTACTGCTTTGTTTTGTTTTTTGTTTTTTTTAGCAGTCACCAATGTCCATAAAACTCTTATCGAGCGATCACCTTTCAAATAATTAATTTTCTTTCTGTCAGATTTCTTCACTGTCCAATTTTTCAAATACATACATAGAAATTGGAAATACTATCACTATGGGCAATTCTGATCTATATACTTGATCTTATATGGTTCCCTCATGCCTACCTTTCCAAATCTCTAGGTTCCTTTGATTTCTTGACTCTGTATACACATCATTTTGATTAAAACATGAGCCAGTATGTTGGAAATCTTTTTCACTGCCCACTTTTTTTCACTGTCATTTTTTTTACTTAATAGTAAGGTATAGTTCTACTTTTGCTCTTTCTTCCTTACCTTTCATAAGGAGTCATTCCAAGTTTTTGCTATTTTCTGCAAGTAATTTGGTATCATCCATATATCTTAAATTATTGATATTACTTTCTCCAATTTTTATGTCTGCTTCCTCTGAGTATAATCCTGTATTTTGTACAATAAGTTCTGCATACAAATTAAACAGATAGGGTGATAAAAACTTGGCCTTGCCAAGTTTCTTCATATTGTGACCTGATAGTGGTCTCTTGTCCAGAGAATATGCGTCAGGGCAAGGAGATGTGTGGTAACCCAATTCATTTTAGAGTGAAACATAACATCTCTCATCCAGTCAGCCAAATGTTTTGTTGTAATGTATAAAACGTAAATTAAGGTGTTTTCTTTTTCCTGGAAATTCCTTGGTTATACTATTATCCAACGTGTGTTTGCTATATTTTCCCTACTGCATTATCTTTTCCTGAGTCCAGATTTTGACAGCTCATATTTCTTGCTCCATGGTAAAAAAAACTTGTTTTTTTACATGGTAAAAAAAACTTGTTTTGTAAAACTTTCAGCATCAAAGCAGTTTTGTGAGTTTTACAGAAGTTGACTATGGATAGTACTGATTGACTATCATATCTGACCCTTCCTTCCCTGCCTTGGATAATTTTTACCATCTTGCACAAACTTTGCTATTCAGAAGGGAGAAGTGCCATATTAGCATTCATGCTTCTGTTTACTACACATATTATCTTTGTCTATTTGTTTTGCTCCCCTTGAAACACATGTTTAAATGTTTCTGGATGGAAATAAAATTATTGTCAGTAGCCACTAAATACTAGTCCCTTGCCACATCCACAGAACCATTCCCCACTATTGCTGTATTTCATAGAGGGTGGCGATACATTGGTCAACAACTCAGTGAATGCATTCTAGGACACAGTGATTGCTGTTTCCTATTGAAACACAACTTTGTGCATTCTACTATCAGCAGACCAGTGTGATTTTTTTATTGTCAGTTGCTTTCCTTTAATACAGCACCATTTCAAATGTCTGGTGTATTCACAGGAAGAAATGGAAAATGAAAGTTTGAATTTTGAAATGGTGCTCTGAGTCAAAGCACATGTTTTCTGTCTTCCTGATTCTATTTGTCACTCTAATGCGTGGACTGTACCCATTACAGAATGACATGGAGATTTTGCATGAAGGGGTCACTTCAAAATCAGTGTGCTGCAATACAGTTCCTTGACCTTATTCTTCTCTATATGTATGAAGACTTGTTTGCAATGTGACTCAGCTGAAAAAAAAATGGGTTGTGTTCAGTTATTTTGTTCCCCGAATGGAAGAAATTTGAATTATCAGAAAGATTGTTGCAATTCTTTAGAAGGAATCCTTCAGAATCAACAGGAAGAAACTGCCAAGGAAAATGAAGAGGACTGTATCATTAAGGAAGGACAATTATTGTCAGAAGCAGATCCTACAGATTGGAGAATCTGCTCCTGACAGTACAAAAGTTCTCTAAGTAATGGATTCCTACATCTTCCTAAAATTGTGGTGAAAAAGCCCAAAAGAAAGCAAGGAACAGGAGATTCTGCAGCCAGGGAAGGAACCAACTTTACCACTAATTACATTAAAAATAAAAGGATGGTCCTGATGGTAGGGAACTCATTTCTTATGTATAGAGAGACATCTGTGCCAGCCTGACAAGATAAATCAGGAAGTATGCTATCTCTCGAGTTCATTTATTTGAGATGTCACTGAGAGCTTGCTAAAGCTTATCAAGAACTCAGAGCAGTGCCCCTTTCTCCCCCCCCTCGGGTGGCCCCCAACAATACCAAGAAGAACATCCTTTACCACTTTACTTCAGACATTAAAGCCCTGAGAAAAAAGGGAAAAGGTTAAAAACCTAGTCGATAATCTCTCCAGTTCTACCAGGGATCACATAGGGATAAGAATACACTGCAAGTAAATGACTGGCTTTACAGATAATTTTGCGGAGGGAGGCTTGATATCTAGGACCATGATCTTCACTTCATAGAGGAAAGACAGTATATACCTCACAATAGAGAGTTTAAATTTTATTGTCCTTTGTCTTGGTCCCCACATGGCCAAAACAGGGGGAAGTGGCCATAACCTGCATTGACATCTCTCCAGAGCAAATTACAAACAGACACAATGCATGATACAAAATGTAGACCTGTGATTCCAACTCAGTCACCTTCCCCACTTTTTTTCTTTCTCGTGTGTGTTTTATAAGCATCTTTTGCTGAAGAAGGCATCAGAGCTTTGAAAGCTTGAATGATATGTTTTGTGCATATTGGTTTACTAATAAAGGCACCACTCTTTTGTGGATTTTTAATTTTGTTTTATATGACTGGTGGACAGTGTCTTGAGGGCAGTAATGGAGGACAATGGACATCCAAAAGATTGGGTTATATGTTTTTCATTGTGATTGTTTATCCTTGACAAGGTCTCTGAAGAACATCATGGTGGATGACTGTCTTGAAATGACAACTTCTATTGATCCTTAACCAAACCAGTTACAAAAATGCCAAATCAGAGCGACAGCAAGAGTACTAACCAGTTCCAGATCATTTGTTTAGGAGGAGATGATCATTATGGTATTTCTTGGGACTTTCCTCCTCCTTGTACCAAAAATTACTGTCTCAAAACCATGTTTATAAAGGTTCAAAGTTTGCCTTGGCACAGTTACAAAGAGCAGTTTTCCTGGTCTTTTACTAGCCTGCTTCAAGAGGGGGAAAAGTGCAGGTTTAAATGGCTGCTGTTTTTCATTAAAAGGAAAAAGTCTTGTGTTTTGATTCTATAAGAACAACAAACAAATGAACGAGACATGAAAAATTTGTTGTGTTTCTAATTAAAAACAGGAGGCTGTTTTTCATTATTTCTAGTTGGGTGGTATCTTGGTTCTCAGATTCATCTTGTTTTTAAATTAGACACATCTCTTAGTGTTCTTGTCTGACAAATTCACTAGAGGGCAAACTACATATTATACTGCAATCATGTATGATAATGCCTTGGTGCTTCTTTCTCTTGCAAAATAGGTCCAGAATATTAGTGGGGAGGAGGCATTCAATTTTCTCGATATAGAAGTAAAAATGAAGAAAGGAAGTGTTTTCTACCAGTCTTTTGGGTGACACGGCCTGGCCCAATTGTGGACATTCTATAGGAGAGAACAAACCAAATGGGCTTTGTTACACAAGGGATTTGTAGTTCAGCATGACTAAAGCTTTACGTAACACTAAATCTCAACTACATTTAAAAATACTAGCTTTCACCAGAGAGAGAAAGGGAAACCAAACAAGTACGTTAAAACTGTTGTTAAATTTAGAAAAGGACAGGTTGAAAAAGGCATCAACATTGCAAAGCATTATTACCAGACCAAACTGTCACTTCTCACACAAGCCAAACAAGTGTTTTGATTTTTTAATTAGATCATTGACGCAAATCATACAAGAGTTTTTAGTA